CTCATACATCACACAAACTTCTCTCATACATCACACAAACTTCTCTCATACATCACACAAACTTCTCTCATACATCACACAAACTTCTCTCATACATCATCAAACAAACTTCTCTCATACATCACACAAACTTCTCTCATACATCAAACAAACTTCTCTCATACATCATCACACAAACTTCTCTCATACATCACACAAACTTCTCTCATACATCACACAAACTTCTCTCATACATAAAACAAACTTCTTTCATACATCACACAAACTTCTCTCTTACATCATCACACAAACTTCTCTCATACATCACACAAACTTCTCTCTTACATCATCACACAAACGTCTCTCATACATCACACAAACTTCTCTCATACATCACACAAACTTCTCACATACATCACACAAACTTCTCGTATACATCACACAAACTTCTCTCATACATCATCACACAAACTTCTCTCATACATCATCACACAAACTTCTCTCATACATCACACAAACTTCTCTCATACATGACACAAACTTCTCTCACACATCATCACACAAACTTCTCTCATACATCACACAAACTTCTCTCATACATCACACAAACTTCTCTCATACATCACACAAACTTCTCTCATACATCACACACACTTCTCTCATACATCATCACACAAACGTCTCTCATACATCACACAAACTTCTCTCATACATCACACAAACTTCTCTCATACATCACACAAACTTCTCTCATACATCACACAAACTTCTCTCATACATCATCACACAAACTTCTCTCATACATCACACAAACTTCTCTCATACATCACACAAACTTCTCTCATACATCATCACACAAACTTCTCTCATACATCATCACACAAACTTCTCTCATACATCACACAAACGTCTCTCATACATCACACAAACGTCTCTCATACATCACACAAACTTCTCTCATACATCACACAAACTTCTCTCATACATCACACAAACTTCTCTCATACATCACACACACTTCTCTCATACATCATCACACAAACGTCTCTCATACATCACACAAACTTCTCTCATACATCACACAAACTTCTCTCATACATCACACAAACTTCTCTCATACATCACACAAACTTCTCTCATACATCATCACACAAACTTCTCTCATACATCACACAAACTTCTCTCATACATCACACAAACTTCTCTCATACATCATCACACAAACTTCTCTCATACATCATCACACAAACTTCTCTCATACATCACACAAACTTCTCTCATACATCACACAAACTTCTCTTATACATCACACAAACTTCTCTCATACATCACACAAACTTCTCTCATACATCACACAAACTTCTCTCATACATCACACAAACTTCTCTCATACATCACACAAACTTCTCTCATACATCACACAAACTTCTCTCATACATCACACAAACTTCTCTCATACATCACACAAACTTCTCTCATACATCACACAAACTTCTCTCATACATCATCACACAAACTTCTCTAATACATCACATAAACTTCTCTCATACATCATCACACAAACTTCTCTCATACATCATCACACAAACTTCTCTCATACATCATCACACAAACTTCTCTCATACATCACACAAACTTCTCTCATACATCACACAAACTTCTCTCATACATCACACAAACTTCTCTCATACATAATCACAAACTTCTCTCATACATCACACAAACTTCTCTCATACATCACACAAACTTCTCTCATACATCACACAAACTTCTCTCATACATCACACAAACTTCTCTCATACATCACACAAACTTCTCTCATACATCACACAAACTTCTCTCATACATCACACAAACTTCTCTAATACATCACACAAACTTCTCTCATACATCACACAAACTTCTCTCATACATCACACAAACTTCTCTCATACATCACACAAACTTCTCTCATACATCACACAAACTTCTCTCATACATCATCACAAACTTCTCTCATACATCACACAAACTTCTCTCATACATCACACAAACTTCTCTCATACATCACACAAACTTCTCTCATACATCACACACACTTCTCTCATACATCATCACACAAACTTCTCTCATACATCACACAAACTTCTCTCATACATCACACAAACTTCTCTCATACATCACACAAACTTCTCTCATACATCATCACAAACTTCTCTCATACATCACACAAACTTCTCTCATACATCCCACAAACTTCTCTCATACATCACACAAACTTCTCTCATACATCACACAAACTTCTCTCATATATCACACAACATAAAATTCAACATTTTAAAAAGTTAAAACAAACATTATTTGTTGTGGTATCTGTTATCGCCGATATTTTCTAACCGTGTTATCTCCTGCCGATGATCTTACAGGGTGACTAATCTTTCTTTGAAGACCCGACCTTCCTCATTCCTCCCCCCCCCCCCACCCCTGTCTTGCACCAGGGGCCACTCTGGACCCCACTCTCCTAAAATCGGAAAATTCCGTTAATTAACACACCAAGAAGCACACACGGGCTGGGATCAAAGAAATGTTAATTGTAGATTGGCGGATGTTAGGCAACCCCTCACCCCCGGGTCCTAGGCAACCCCCCACCCCGGGTCCACGTCTGCCGCGGGACGACAATAGCAGACGACCGCCATTATCCCCCCGACCAAATCAATGTAACGGCGCTCTAAAGCTCCACGCCATCTGCAATGAGATTCGCCGGCCGGCAGATCGCACTGTCTCAAATTAAATCATTCTTATAATCGCCCCTCCCCCCGCCGCTCCAGAACATCAAAGAGAAGCGGCAACATTTCTGGAATGTGGACGGGCTTCTGGGGTGGCAGCATGTCCACCCCGGTGCCAGACGGGAGAGGTTTAATGAGGGATAATGGACATGCAATCAGACGACGGCCGCCGCTTTGGTGACCATCACGTGACACGTGAGCCCCGCAAGATCAAAGAGAGACATCAAGTGCAACACTCCTTGGATATCTCAGCTCAATCTAAATTTGGGGGTTGGTCAACTTTTACATGCTGTCAGCTATTGGGGGTTGGTCAACTTTTACATGCTGACAGATATTGGGGGTTGGTCAACTTTTACATGCTGACAGCTATTGGGGGTTGGTCAACTTTTACATGCTGACAGATATTGGGGGTTGGTCAACTTTTACATGCTGACAGCTATTGGGGGTTGGTCAACTTTTACATGCTGACAGCTATTGGGGGTTGGTCAATTTTTACATGCTGACAGATATTGGGGGTTGGTCAACTTTTACATGCTGGCAGATATTGGTGGTTGGTCAACTTTTACATGCTGGCAGCTATTGGTGGTTGGTCAACTTTTACATGCTGACAACTATAGGTGGTTGGTCAACTTTTACATGCTGACAGCTATTGGGGGTTGGTCAACTTTTACATGCTGACAGATATTGGGGGTTGGTCAACTTTTACATGCTGGCAGATATTGGTGGTTGGTCAACTTTTACATGCTGGCAGCTATTGGTGGTTGGTCAACTTTTACATGCTGACAACTATAGGTGGTTGGTCAACTTTTACATGCTGACAGTTATTGTTGGTATCGTGTAAAGAAATGTTAGTGTTTACACCGAGCTTAATGCTACTGTAAACATGTACTTTAATGTCATTTTTAACATGTCATTCAATGTGATTTTAAAATGCAGTTTAAAAGTTATTGTTTCGCCTCGATGAACATATGTTGAGTACAGAAATGTTCATGGAAAAAACAAAAACCACAAATTGACCCTGCCATATGAATCCAATCAACACTATCAATCCAATCAACACAATCAATATGTCTAATCAAATCGTTGAATACGTCAATTAAAGCGGAAGTGATCTCCCCTAAGGTTACTCGTATATCACAAGTTTGTAATATAGAAGAGCACGAGGTGTAAAAAAGAAAAGCACACCTAGTGAACATAAACAATGAGTGTGTAATAGAGTGGAAATGTGTTCTTTATAAAGGAAACATTGATTAACTTTAACAAAGTTAATCAAACATCCAATTTAGCTGAATTTATTGTCACATTGAATTGTCGTCCAATCTAGACCTACGTGAAAAGTTTTGAAGAAATCGGTCTGTTAGAAATGTTCTTTTTTTCAGAAATCGGAAATAGCGTAAAATAATACTTTCGCTCATCGGAAATCACTCAATATTTTAGAGAACCGAGAGAACTCAAGTTGTCGGTATTTTATAAACCAGAAATAAAGCACCACTTCCGGTTATTAGAGGTCACTCAAAAATGGAAACTAATTTAAGCAGTAGAGTAAGTACCACTTCCGGTTACGGAAATCGCTTAAAAATACTCAGTTATCGTATTCACAGACACACACACACACACACACATATAGACACAATATTTAAACAGCAGTGACATAAAGGACAATGTATCTAAGATAAACACAAACATCTGCGGCTTGTCGTGATGGGAAAATTTGGGTTCCTGGCCTACTAGGTCATGTGACAATCTAGGTCATTTATCGGGTTAGGTCATGTGACAAGCTAGGTCATTTATCGGGTTAGGTCATGTAACAAGATGCGAGTGTGTCGTGGTGTTAAAAGATGCGAGGGTGTCGTGGTGTTAAAATACATTTGAAACAAACACTAGCAGACGAGAGTGACTAATGATGAGAATGACGTGGTCAGGATTTGGCAGCGTCGTGACTCAATCTTTGTGTCTGCAGATGAATCACATTCATTGTTGGACAAACAACGATGGGGCGCAACTCATGGTCTTCTAATCTTCACAGGGTGAGCAATAGGGGCCGCTACTCATCACACCCACCCCTGAGTCCTTTGTACAGACACGGCCATAGGGTACCATATTGATTGGCGTTTTAAGGCATTGTTTTTCTTCAGACACGACTTTGGGTTTTTTTAACACGTCAAGTAGTTTTGGTCCAATAAAGTTTGTCTAATATGCAGCAAAGTTTGTCTGTCAACAAAGTTTGTCTGTCAACAACGTTTGTCCGTCCAACATTCAACAGAGTCGGTCCCAGGTCTGTCGAAGTGCCGACAGAGAATGTTCCTCTCTGGCATCCACCGGGCAGACGGTCTGTCGTCTGCTGATGTCGTCTGCTGATGTCGTCTGTTGATGTCGTCTGTTGATGTCGTCTGCTGATGTCGTCTGCTGATGTCGTCTGTTGATGTCGTCTGTTGATGTCGTCTGCTGATGTCGTCTGCTGATGTCGTCTGTTGATGTCGTCTGCTGATGTCGTCTGTTGATGTCGTCTGTTGATGTCGTCTGCTGATGTCGTCTGCTGATGGCGTCTGCTGATGTCGTCTGTTGATGTCGTCTGCTGATGTCGTCTGCTGATGTCGTCTGTCTATGTCGTCTGTTGATGTCGTCTGTTGATGTCGTCTGCTGATGTCGTCTGTTGATGTCGTCTGTTGATGGCGTCTGCTGATGTCGTCTGTTGATGTCGTCTGCTGATGTCGTCTGTTGATGTCGTCTGTTGATGTCGTCTGCTGATGTCGTCTGCTGATGTCGTCTGTTGATGTCGTCTGCTGATGTCGTCTGTTGATGTCGTCTGTTGATGTCGTCTGCTGATGTTGTCTGTTGATGTCGTCTGTTGATGTCGTCTGTTGATGTCGTCTGTTGATGTCGTCTGTTGATGTCGTCTGCTGATGTCGTCTGTTGATGTCGTTTGTTTATGGCGTCTGCTGATGTCGTCTGCTGATGTCGTCTGCTGATGTCGTCTGTTGATGTCGTCTGCTGATGTCGTTTGCTGATGTCGTCTGTTGATGTCGTTTGTTTATGTCGTCTGTTGATGTCGTCTGCTGATGTCGTCTGTTGATGTCGTCTGCTGATGTCGTCTGTTGATGTCGTCTGCTGATGTCGTCTGCTGATGTCGTCTGTTGATGTCGTCTGCTGATGTCGTCTGCTGATGTCGTCTGTTGATGTCGTTTGTTTATGGCGTCTGTTGATGTCGTCTGTTGATGTCGTTTGTTTATGGCGTCTGCTGATGTCGTCTGTTGATGTCGTCTGCTGATGTCGTCTGTTGATGTCGTCTGCTGATGTCGTCTGCTGATGTCGTCTGCTGATGTCGTCTGTTTATGGCGTCTGGCCTGCTGTTAGCGCAGGTGTTGCTTTCAAATAAATCGTCTGCTGATGTCGTCTGCTCCTATCGATTTTCTTAGCACCATAAAGCGTGATACAGGGTAGGACATAAAGAAAGGATTTAGGACTGAGGTAGGACACGGCCTAAAGAAAGGACTATAGAGGAGGATTTGGGATTAGGGGAGGACAGGATGGTAAACGGAAAAAAAGTCACAGGAAAAAAAAACACAGAAAAAAGTCACCGTTTTTGCTAGGAAAAAAAGTCACAGAAAAAAAGTCACAGTGGAAAAACATTTTTGGAAAAAAAGTCACAGAAATAAAGTCACAGAAAAAAAGTCACAAAAATATTTTTTAGAAATATTTTTTTTAATTTGTTTAGAATTGTAAAATTTTGTATGTTTATTGTTGTGGGTTGTATTTTTTTTATAGCATAAATTATTTATAGACGTTAAAAGCATTATGGTTTATAACAATTGTAAGTAAAAATACTGTAATATAATTTACACAACAATCTCAACTTTTGTTACGTATTTAGTTAAAAACGCGGTAGAAAATTTAATTATAAAAGAAATTTAGGCAAATTTTGCCGTAGGCTATTCTCTGGTCGGCCTCTCCTCAGTAGGCATTGTCCGAACATATTTTGTGTTGTTGACGTCATGCGTCAATGACAGCATTTGAACCTTGTCGGCTTTCTTTTTTTATCCTAAGTGTTGTTATGTAATGAGCTTGATAAATGTGGGCAGTAAAGGTGGTTGAACTAAACATCTAAACATAACTATTGTGGCCATGAGTTGAGGGCAGCAAGTCAGACGAACTTACCATTTCACGGTAATTTAATGTTGGTATTTAAAAAAAAAACAGGATTAAAACCGTGGACTTTGGAGCATTCTATTAAACGCTACTAATCTTAAGTTTAAAATAATTACAATCTACATACTTCATACTAAATATTTTTAGATTAATTATAAAAATTCCTATGCGTATACAGCCTACACACATTACATTACATTTAATTAATCTTAAGTTAATTTGCACTATCTGAATATTTAATACATAAAAGTATTAACAAGTATCATGCAAATATATATTTTGTGACTTTTTCCTGTGACTTTTTTTCCTACAATCGGACAGGATAGGAGGACAAATAGGACAGAAATGTAGGACAAAGGGACAGTAGCAGCCTAGGGGAGAGCTTTAGATGGGAGGGGACAACATTTGACAATATCCATTGGTGGCAGACAAATGTCCGAAGGTGGCAGACAAATGTCCGAAGGTGGCTGACAATTGTCCGAAGGTGGCAGCAAGCAGACAAATGTCCGAAGATAGCAGACAAACGTCCGAAGGTGGCAGAAGAATGTCCGAAGGTGGCAGACAAATGTCCGAAGGTGGCAGCAAGCAGACAAATGTCCGAAGGCGGCAGACAAATGTCCGAAGGTGGCAGACAAATGTCCGAAGGTGGCAGACAAATGTCTGAAGGTGGCAGAAAGCAGACAAATATCCAAAGGTGGCAGACAAATGTCCCAAAGTGGCAAACAAATGTCCGAAGGTGGACAAATGTCCGAAGGTGGCAGACAAATGTCCGAAGGTGGCAGACAAATATCCGAAGGTGGCAGACAAATGTCCGAAGGTGGCAGCAAGCAGACAAATGTCCGAAGGTGGCAGACAAATGTCCGAAGGTGGCAGACAAATGTCCGAAGGTGGCAGACAAATGTCCGAAGGTGGCAGACAAATGTCCGAAGGTGGCAGACAAATATCCGAAGGTGGCAGCAAGCAGACAAATGTCCGAAGGTGGCAGACAAATGTCCGAAGGTGGCAGAAAAATGTCCGAAGGTGGCAGCAAGCAGACAAATGTCCGAAGGTGGCAGACAAATGTCCGAAGGTGGCAGACAAATGTCCGAAGGTGGCAGACAAATATCCGAAGGTGGCAGCAAGCAGACAAATGTCCGAAGGTGGCAGACAAATGTCCGAAGGTGGCAGACAAATATCAGAAGGTGGCAGACAAATGTCCGAAGGTGGACAAATGTCCGAAGGTGGCAGACAAATGTCCGAATGTGGCAGACAAATATCCGAAGGTGGCAGCAAGATTGTAGGAAAAAAAGTCACCGGAAAAAAAAACACAGGAAAAAAAAACACAGAAAAAAAGTCACAGGAAAAAAAGTCACAGGAAAAAAAGTCACAGGAAAAAAAGTCACAAATATATATTTGCATGATATTTGTTAATACTTTTATGTATTAAATATTTAAAGAGTGCAAATTAACTTAGGATTAATTAAATGTAATGTAATGTGTAGGCTGTATACGCATAGGAATTTTTATAATTCATCTAAAAATATTTATTATGAAGTATGTAGATTGTAATTATTTTAAACTTAAGATTAGTAGCATTTAATAGACTGCTCAAAAGTCCACGGTTTTCATCGTGTTTTTTTTAAAAATACCAATATTAAATTACCGTGAAATGGTAATTTCATCTGACTTGCTGCCCTCAACTCATGGCAACAATAGTTAAGTTTAGTTCAACCACCTTTACTGCCCACATCTATCACGCTCATTACATAACAAAACTTAGGATCAAAACAGAAAGCCGACAAGGTTCAAAGGCTGTCATTGACGCGTAACGTCAACAACACAAAATATGTTCGGACAATGCCTACTGAGGAGAGGCCGACCAGAGAATAGCCTACGGCAAAATTTGCCTAAATTTCTTTTATAATTAACTTTTCTACCGCGTATTTAACTAAATACGTAACAAGTTGAGATTGTTGTGTAAATTATCTTAGAGTATTTTTACTTACAATTGTTATAAATCATAATGCTTTTAACGTCTATAAATAATTTATGCTATCAAAAAATACAACCCACAACAATAAACATACAAAATTTTACAATTCTTAACAAATTGATAAAAATATTTCTAAAAAGATTTTTGTGACTTTTTTTCTGTGACTTTATTTCTGTGACTTTTTTTCCGATAAAAATTTTCCACTGTGACTTTTTTTCTGTGACTTTTTTTCCTAGCAAAAACTGTGACTTTTTTTCTGTGTTTTTTTTTCCTGTGACTTTTTTTCCGTTTACCGGCAGCAAGCAGACAAATGTCCGAAGGTGGCAGATAAATATCCGAAGGTGGCAGACAAATGTCCGAAGGTGGCAGACAAATGTCCGAAGGTGGCAGACAAATGTTTGAAGGTGGCAGACAAATGTCCGAAGGTGGCAGACAAATGTCCGAAGGTGGCAGACAAATGTCCGGAGGTGGCAGCAAGCAGACCACTGTCCGAAGGTGGCAGACAAATGTCCAAAGGTGGCAGACAAATGTCCGAAGGTGGCAGACAAATGTCTGAAGGTAGCAGACAAATGTCCGAAGGTGGCAGACAAATGTCTGGCAGTGGCGGCAAGCAGACAAATGTCTGGCAGTGGCGGCAAGCAGACAAATGTCTGGCAGTGGCGGCAAGCAGACAAATGTCTGGCAGTGGCGGCAAGCCTCCAAATTGTGCGGGCCCATAACCTGAGCCAGCGATACCTTAATTAGAACTCTAATCTCCACGGCTTATGCCGCGTCACGTCGCTAATCAAACTTCTTTTTTTCCGACGGTCGGCTTTTTTTCCGACGGTCGGCCCACGATGTGAGCCAATTTAACGAGAAGGTTATCCATCAAGGACGTCGCGAGGGTCGCGTGGCCCTCTCAGCGCCCCCTGCATTAGCCTGACAACAAAGAGCCGCCAGTCCGTGGCCCGGGCCATCCCATGCAGGAGCCAACAACCGTTGCCATCTTCCCCTCTCTATAATTGTATTAAGCCACGGCTGCAGTCGGAGCCTCTCATATTTCCTGCAGGCGGCGACGCTAGAGTTTCAGACACCCAGCACCACTGTTGGTGCCGCTCTCCTAGATGGGCCGGCCAAAGTGCCGGATCATGGGCCGGCCAAACTGCCGGATCACCGGCTCATGGGGGCTGGGGGCGGCAACAACGGAACCATCCACTGGAAGTGATCTTGTAATTCTAGACTCACTTCATATAAGACTCATTTCATCGGTATGTGGGTTGTATGAGTGTGGGTGATGTGGGGTGTGGGTTGAGTGTGGCTGTGGGGGTGTGGGTATTGTGGGGTGTGGGTTGTGTGTGTGTGTGTGTGTGATGCTGTAATTCTAGACTCACTTCATATAAGACTCATTTCATCGGTATGTGGATTGTATGAGTGTGGGTGATGTGGGGTGTGGTTTGTGTGTGTGTGTGGCTGTGGGTATTGTGGGGTGTGGTTTGTGTGTGTGTGTGTGGATGAAATATTATATCATTTGAGCCGTCAACAATGAGAAGGGGTGATAAACATTCACTGTAGGGGTGGTGTATGGGTGGTGTAGGGGTGGGGTAGGGGTGGTGTAGGGGTGGTGTAGGGGTGGGGTAGGGGTGGCGTAGGGGTGGTGTAGGGGTGGTGTAGGGGTGGTGTAGAGGTGGTGTAGGGGTGGGGTAGGGGTGGGGTAGGGGTGGTGTAGGGGTGGTGTAGGGGTGGCGTAGGGGTGGCGTAGGGGTGATAAACATTCACTGTAGGGGTGGTGTAGGGGTGGTGTAGGGGTGGTGTAGGGTTGGTGTAGGGGTGGTGTAGAGGTGGTGTAGGGGTGGTGTAGGGGTGGTGTAGGGGTGGGGTAGGGGTGGTGTAGGGGTTGTGTAGGGGTGGTGTAGAGGTGGTGTAGGGGTGGTGTAGGGGTGGTGTAGGGGTGGGGTAGGGGTGGTGTATGGGTGGTGTAGGGGTTGGTCTAGGGGTGGTGTAGGGGTGATAAACACTCACTGTAGGGGCGGAATTCTTTCACTTGAATCTTTCATTTATTGATTTCTGCAACTTGTTATTTCTGTTGCTGTCCACGTACGTAAGATCGAATTAAACAATCTGTAGGATTGTACTTAACAATCTGTAAGACTGTATTAAACAATCTGTAAGATTGTATGAAACAATCTGTAACTTCCCTGTAATTGACTTAGTGCCGCGGGCTGGATGAAACAACCAACTCTGATTGAAATGAATGCAGCCATCAATCACCTCCCCCCTCCCAGAAATCAAATATCCCCAGCCATCTTTCACAGCCGCCAAGTCCGCTAACGTCTCAAGTTCTAATGGACCAGGGCGGAGGGAGGGGGATGGGGGCGGAGGGACACGAAGATGACAAATGTCCATAAACTAACGGCAATAATGAAGCAAAAATCAAGGGAAATCCCCTTCAATGAGTTTCGAATCCTTACCGCACAATGCAGCTCTTTTATCCGGTGTCGCGTGTCGCTGGCATTGCCAGGAGTTTTCCTGCAGTTGACGGAATTTCAGAAGACTTCTCAGTGTGTGTGTGGGGGGGGGGGGGGCTCAGATATCTTGTGCATTGGGGGTGTGTCTCACAGAAAATCTGGCAATAAAGGTGTGGCCAGACAACTTTGTCATAGTATTTGTGGCCCGTATAATTTGACAGTGGCCTTTTGATTTACATTAGACAGTGGCCTTTTGATTTACATTTGCCTTGTAGTACCGCCATGGACCACGATAGGTTGCATTTGAATCTAACTTTCCAAGTCGCCACATGAAGTAAGGCTCAAATAAAATGGGAAAATGTTGATCTTTGATTTGTCAACAGCTTTAAACACTGACTTAAAAATCTTGACTTTGTTGGACTGTTTGTAGGGCAGATACAGATAATGCACAGATGTTTCAGAGTTCAAAGATCCTAATGATGTAGATCTTGACGATGAATTATTCAATGAAATACACATACATTTTTTTTTAATATCATCAGTCTTGCCATTTAAAGGCGGTATCAGCTATTAAATAGAAACATCAATAGTGTGACTAATTAGAGCCACCAGTGATTAATTAGGTCACTTGTGATTAATTACGTCAACCTTTATTAATGTGCGATATTTCGGTGGTTGATTTGGTTAACGTGACGATCGTTCACGTGATGGAATATTATTCAAATATCGATACTTTTAAATATCGATACTTTTCAAATATCGATAATTTTGTGTTTATTTTCTTCGAGATTCGGTAACGATAAAAAATAAACCGGGAGTGATCTCCCCAAAACTTTCTCGAATATTCTTATATAACACTACGGGGGATAGCAACTCGGGATCTAGACATGATTTTTAATCCATTTTTACTTTCTTGTATACGAAGTAAACAGAAAGTATTGTAATCGTGCAAAAAAATAAATAGAGAAAAATCGAACTACAAATTTGATATAATACTTATATATGAAATTTCATCAACCTAGCTCTAACGGTACTCAAGTTATCGTGTTCACAGACACACATACAGACACACAAACACACATACTGACAAGATTGCAAAACTGTTTTTCCTACTCAGGGAGGTGTAAAACGTCGAGATTTGCAAAAATCTCGATTTTTTTTTTTACTTTCTCGTATATACGAAGTATAGAGAAAGTATTGTTATCGTGCAAAAAAAATCGAGATTTTTACAAATCTCGACGTTTTACACCTCACTGATACGGAAAAACATAATTTTGCAATCTTGTCCGTATGTCTGTGTGTGTGTCTGTCTGCCTGTCTGTCTGTCCGTGTGTAAACACGATTACTTGAGTACCGTTACAGCTAGGTTGATGAAATTTCATATATAAGTATTTAATCAAAATCGTAGATCCGTATCAACTTTTGAGCGATTTCCGATAACCGGAAGTGGTACTTTTCCTACTTTGAAATTTTCAAAAGCCTATAACTTGAGTACTATTTCAGATAGATAAATGAAATTTCACATGTAAGTAAAAGATCTAATTCTCTACCTTCTGTTAAATTTTGATTAATTTCCGTTGACCGGAAATAGTAATTTACGCTACTTCCGATTTCTCAAAAAACTAACGTAAATTTTTAAAGTACTTATAATATTGCGCACTATTATGTACTTTTTTATTTGGCGTTCACTTGGTGTGCAATTCTTTTGTCTACGAGATTTTATTCTATTTTTAAAACTTTAAGTATTTAAAATGGATTAAAAATCATGTCTATAGCCCGAGTTCCCATCCCCTGTTATTTTATATAAGAATATTCGAGAAAGTTTTGGGGAGATCACTCCCGGTTTATTTTTTGCACGATTACAATATTTTCTCTATATTTAGTAGACGAGAAAGTAAAAACACAGATTTGTCTTAGCTCTTATCAAACATTATTTAGTGGCCTAAAATAAAATATCGCCACTATAGCACTAACCACGCCTAATCTGGACAAAGCGTTGCAAAGCACAGAATCGAATTTCTATAATTACAAGTGTTTTAATAAGACAACAAAACTTTTTTCAAAAACCGCTCGCTGGGATTTCAAGACTTTTGTCATAGCCCTTCACGCAGTGTTGGTAGAGTCGTTGATATTGAAATCAACTTTTTGATGGTAATTGTGATGGTGATGTTGGTTTTTCTCTCGACATGAAACCCACGCGCTGCAGTGAGTGATTAAAGCCTAAGCGATTACTCATTAGGTGACTTTCGTGAGAAAAGGACATCGCAGGCCGTGAGTGTGGGGGTGTGGGGGGTGTGTGTGCCGGCTGAGTGGCCGTGTCGCCGCCATTACCGGCTTCTAAACGCCGGCTTTTATTAGCACTCTACACTGGTACGGCTCTTAAACAGCTGCCGGCTAGATTTCCTGGCTATTCAGAGCCGGCTAGAAAACTACACCGACGTAAAACTACATCCGGTTGCCTTGACGAAGTGGTATTGATGTGGGTGGGGGTGTGGCGTGGCGTGAGTACCCCACTATAGCAGGCTCCTTCAGTCAAATAGCGGAAATTGGAAAATAAGATGGCGATATTTGGCCTTGAAATTTCGGGCTGTTTAGTGGCGTCATTGTTTTCTGGAGTCTTTGTAATTGTTTTCTGAAGTCATTGTGAGTAGATATTTGAGGTGAAATTTTCTGCTTGCTGGTGTTCTGCGAGTCTTTATTGAGTTGAGTCGGTGTTATGGGTTAGGTGGGGGTGGTATTATGGATTAGTGGAGTCAGTGTTTTATTTTAGTGGAGTCAGTGTTATGGTTTAGAGGAGTCAGTGTTATGCTTAAAAGGAGTCAGTGTTAGGGTTTAGAGGAGTCAGTGTTAGGGTTTAGAGGAGTCAGTGTTAGGGTTTAGAGGAGTCAGTGTTAGGGTTTAGATGAGTCAGTGTTAGGGTTTAGATGAGTCAGTGTTAGGGTTTAGAGGAGTCAGTGTTATGCTTAAAAGGAGTCAGTGTTAGGGTTTAGATGAGTCAGTGTTATGGTTTAAAGGAGTCAGTTTTATGGTTTAGAGGAGTAAGTGTTATGGTTTAGAGGAGTCAGTGTTATGGTTTAGAGGAGTCAGTGTTAGGGTTTAGAGGAGTCAGTGTTATGCTTAAAAGGAGTCAGTGTTATGGTTTAGATGAGTCAGTGTTAGGGTTTAGAGGAGTCAGTGTTAGGGTTTAGAGGAGTCAGTGTTAGGGTTTAGAGGAGTCAGTGTTAGGGTTAAAAGGAGTCAGTGTTAGGGTTTAGAGGAGTCAGTGTTACAAAGGA